CTCCTCTGTCCCCAGACGTCTGTTGAGTGTTGTAAGAAGAAGGGGGGGATGCCACACGGTGGTAAAAATGGACTTGTCCCAACTTTTTTGGGGATTTGTTGACGCCATGAAATTTGGAAACAACAGATTTTTCCCTTAAAATGATACATTCTCTCAGTTTAAACTTTTGATCTGTGATTTGTGTTTTATTCTGAATAAAATATTAGATGTTGGCACCTCCACATCATTGCATTCAGTTTTTATTCACAATTTGTTTAGTGTCCCAACTTTTTTGGAATCCGGCTTGTATTATACCTACTAGGTATTTCTCAATGTGGTTCTTTGTTTGTCATTAGAATGAATAAAGTGAGTCAAACTCAACCCTGTCCAATTATTAAAGCACATAAATGGTAAAAGATGGTCTTAAACTCACTGGTGCAGAACAGTTTGGCTTTAAACGTACCCATGCACTGGGATGCAGAGGATCTTCTGCATGGTGGAGAAGATTTTGTTCACTTTGTCTGGACTTCTGTCAGTTCCATGCTCAGAAATGATGATGGATCTGTGGATGTCTACGATAACAGCAAGCCAAAAGGATTATCATGCTGACTATAACGATGTGCAGAAGATATAACATATACATAGTGCTTGTACCTTTTACATCCGACACTTGTATTGGCTCGTCGTTGCAAAAAGCCCCCTTCCCTTTGCTTGCTTTATACATCTTGTCCTCCAAGCAGCTGTACACCACGCCAAACTCCAGCTATAATAGAGATATGATTTATTAAAGAGTCATAGAAATGGTTAATAAAAACAATGGCGTGATTCGACCTACCTGTTTATTGACAGCAAAGGCAATAGACACAGCTACAAATGGGAATCTGAGGAGAAAAAAAAAATCCATACATTTAATTTATTATTGAATGTCATTTGTTGATGATGTTAGGTTTGTCTCAAAGAAGTTTTGATTTGCACTAACATGAGTGCGTCAAACATCTTACCCATGCACAAAGTTAGTGGTGCCATCGACTGGGTCTATGATCCACGTAGGCTTGTCAGTCAGGATACACGGCTCCCCCTTGGCGACGGACTCCTCCCCAATGAAGCTGCAGCACAAAGAATGCAAAGAAAGCTGAGGAATGTCTGGTTCTGATGGGGCAATCATGCACAAAAACATGGCAACATTCATCGGTGTGTTGGTTTGCATGACTCACGAGTGTGCGTCCTCTCCGAACTTCTGCTTTAGAGACCCAATAATGATTTTCTCCACTCTCTCATCAGTCTTTGTGACAAGGTCCACAGTGGAGCTCTTCGTCATGATTTTGATTTCACTCTCACCCGCTTTTCGAATTTCCTGGTTGGAAATATTTCAACATGGTCACCCCATCTAATAGTCTTAAACCTAGAGCTAAATTAAGGAATTGTTCATGGTTTGAGGATCAGGAATTGGATTTAGTCCACCTAATTTATAAACTAAAGCAGAAAAGTCGCACCTCTCCTGCCTTTCTTGCCACTTCAACGGCGAAGTCATACTCCATCTGCCACGAGGCTTCAGTGTGATTCTCCATTTTATCTCTGAGGGGTTGGTTAGAAGAGTCTGTAAAAATATAAAGCCTGTAAAATTACAACAACAGGTTATTAATAAGACATACAGTACAACACAATGGCCATAATTTGAATAGACTCAAACAAATATGCCTGTAAAAGGTTTAATAGAGACTCGAGCTCTGAGGCCAACAAAACATTATGACAGCATTAGCACAAACCTGCCTCATTACATCTATTACAGCTGAACTGAATGAGTTACCTATAGGACTTCCTTCAACATTGTTCTAAATCGTTACCGCAAACCAGGATTGCAATACATTGTGTTGAAATGTGTCCTTTCTCTGTATTTTTCCTGTTAGAGGTAGTTACAGTATATAGCATTAAAACAAATTGAGTTAGTTTCATGTTTTTTTATAAGCTGCCTTTTGCAAAAGATAAAAACATTAAAATCCTATATTCATTTTTAAATGCAGCACCTGTGTTGCTGTAATTTAATGCTATTAACAGTCTTTTAAAGCTGATTCAGTCGTTCTTTAGTAGAGCAGTTTATTTATTTTTGCTGAGTGGGCCACAATATTTTTTCTTTGTAAATCAATCCTCACCCAATAAATATTGTTGTCGTTTTATTTTCCTTTTATGAGTTAGACATTTCAGTGAATCACAAATGTCATTTGTGTTCCTTGTATCTTTCATGTTGAATAAAGGGGAACCAATCAAGCCGAGACAGAACGACTGATA